CTCTTGAAAAGGGGTCGGCGGCACCCGGGCGAAGCCCTTACAATATATATATATATATATATACACAATCAGATCATTCGGACGGACAAAATGATGGTCAATGCATCAAGGCCTGAGGTGGAGTAGTGCCGCTACAAAGGCATGTGCAACTGGAATCTATGACGCGTATGAGGCATGCATGCTGCGCATACTCAAAATTGGTTGATTGACCCCATACATCCCTTCCTTACCTTGGGTCCAGCACCCTCCAATCTGCTCAAGGGGACTCAAGGGGCAAAGCTTTCCCGCCTCTCCCACCCCGCCAAAGTCCTGTGCTGGAGCATCAACAGCAAACGCATCTCGCGCATGATGGTGTGCTTGATCTTCTCGTAGCCAGGATTCAAACATAAACGGTGGAGATCAATGACCTTTACCGCCTCAGTGGCATGTGACCACAGGCCGTTGAGAACCAGCAATGATGCAATGTGTTTCAGTCATTTGTATATACATCCGCTGCCTCTTGTAAGGCTTTCCTTTTTCAGAATCTTTCATACGCGTGTGTCGTGAGCAAACATACCAAGCAACACATCGCCCCGATGTCCGTGAGCGTGAAAACGCGTCGCAAAGAAGCGACCCCGAACTGCTGCGATTAGGCTTATTTACTTGTTTCTAATAGCTTCTTGTTACTACTAGTAAGGCACCTGTTACTACTAGCGTGGCACTTGTTCCCAGTAGCGATGTGCTTGACCAAGGAACGTATTCCTCATCCCCTTTTTTGCACTTGTACACTTTGGCAGTGGCACCCTGAGCGATGTCTCGACACGGTGCGCTGTATTTTCGCCAAGAGCCAAAGTCTACAGGATGTCTGGGTCGCAAAGAATCTGGTCGGAACGGCCAATCCACCAGTCTTCATATCAAAGCCAGTCTTCATATGGTCTTCCGGTGCAGTCTTCAGGTGTTGCAGTGGTCCAAACCTACAAGTCCAGAAATGATCTTGGCAAGTAGGGTTCCCTTTCTAGTCTCATCTTTTTGGGTTCAATGTGATCCACCATTATTGATAGTTCCCCGTCCTCTTGCGAGGGCCAACATTGGCGCCGGTGACCGCCATGCATGGAATTATGAATTGGCATCACCTGAAAGCCCTAAAAGGAAACCACACTAACCTTCAGCTGCTTGGGCCTTGGTTTCAGCCAGACATCAAGTCTCCACCCACCACATGCTGGGTCGTGACCCACCTGGAATGCCACCTGTTCCTCGCGCACTGACCGTTCCTCCACCCCCAGAGACCGGCATCGATCCACCGGGCCTCTCCCAGTTTCTCTTGCAACACATAGGGCATCGCTTCGTCGCCGAAGGTCTCCCGGCTCTTCGCCTGGAGAAACCGCCGGCGTTGATTGGAAGGATGATGAAATGACCTCCAACCTACTAGCGATGGCCTCCAACCTATGAACACAAGCCCAACAACTGAGTGATGAGGGCTGTTGTGATGAGTACTGGAAACCAAGAGTGATGTGAAAGAAGCCTCCAGTGCGTAATCGGTCCCTCCAGAAGTTCAAGGTTTGTCACTTTCTGTAGAGCGTGATGGTATACGTACTACTCTTGCAACCGAAACAGCTTCAAGATCGCTGGCGGAGTAAGAAGCACTGAGTACTTTTTGAGCACATGTTTTGCAATTCCGATATTGGAGCTCGTGTTCCAATAATTAGGACATCCTTCTTTTGTTTGGGTCTCCAAATGAGGGCACCCCGGGCACCCCGCTTTGCACCCCCGGCGCTCATCGAAGCTGTCCCACTGCCACTGTGTTTCCACACCCCTAAAGGTTCTTTTCTTTTCAGCGCAAGGGAACAGCAAAAAGCAACACAAGTCCAAAAAATAATATGATACATTCTGATAATATCTGACATGGTCCACAAACTGCCATATGTAATGTTGACTGTTGAAAACAATGTGCAAATGGTTGACCAGCAAGTAGGGAGCGTTATTCATCGACAGTCCGCATCCACTGACAGATACGGTTGAGTCCGGGTAGAGTCATGGTTTCTAAGCTTTAAGACTCAAGACCTTAAGACTCACTGTTCACTCCTTCAATCTGTCTGGCTGAGGTGCCGCGGGCAGGAGGGGGCTCATCTCCTGAGGCAAGCACGCCTGCCAGGGTTTGGGAGCGAAGCGGTGCCCAGGTTTGGGAGCGAAAACCCGTTCGATCCGATGCCAACCGAGCACCCCAACCGAGTGCACCCTGAGAGCACCCGGGTGACACCATAAGGGTGCCAAGACTCAGCCAGTTGGGCCATGTGGTCGGCCGGTTTGGAGGACAAGCTCTTTGGCCGGTCAGGGACCCCCAACATCTCGGTTCGGCTTTCTCCAGTGCACCGAACCGGCGCTGTTTTGGACTTCTGCCCAACTGCACACCGCCCAGGTCGTTTGGCGACTGTAAGTTCCATCCAATCACCCGTTGAGTGCTGGTGGTGCTGCTTGGACCACTTCAGTTGGGCGACCCTTCGAACGAGCACGCACCCGGGCACAAGCCGTGAGACGCTGAATCGAGCTCCGAGATGACTAACAAACCGAAACAGGTTGGATAGTATTATATATATAATCCTATTTGCCAGTGTGTATTATGAGTTGAAAAGGTACATCTTGCCCGATTCCGCCACAACATCCTTTTTCCGTCCATCCGTGGGGTTGCTCCTTCTGTGTCGGGAGGTGTACCCCGCCTCAGCCAAACTTTCCCTTTCCTCCTCGTTGAGCCCCAAGTCATCCGCGAAGAGCTGCGCGGCAAAACGGGGGAGGAACCAGAAGCGTTCGTCGGTCAAGGTCTTCGGTCTAGCGGAAAATGGGGGGTTCCCATCCGTTCGGCAGGGTTTGTCCGAACGAGCCCCGGAAAGTGGTGACATCCCCGGAATGCTGCTGTTCTTTCGGCTTCGGTTTCGCCACAGCGATTAGGTTCGACCCTCCCCGGGTGTGACTCCAACATACTCCGCCTTGTCGAGCTTTTGGAACTCCCGTTTTCGCCACCCGAGTCAACTCGTTCCGGCTCCCGCTTCGGGGAAGACCTGGACTCGCCGCCGGGTCCTCCCAGTTCTCCCTCGCTCCACCGATCGCAGTCCTCCCAGTTCTCCTTAACCTCCTCCATCTCTGCAGCACCCATCTCCTGACACCATTGCTTGGCCTGAGCGTCGGGTCCCTCCATATGGGTCCCTATCCAGGCGGTGACCGGGCGCTGAGGGCTGGAAAGACAGAACTTGGAGTGCACAAGTCATGTTTGCATGCTACAGGATGGGATCTTTCTGAAGATCAAGTACTGGGGACCATCTTGGGGTTCGCATATCCTGTTTGATGTCGGCTCGTGCTCGAGCAAAAGCGGAAGTCTCATTCCAATTTTTCTGCCCTGGAAAAAAAAGGATACAGCATGATAAAGCAGCATCAGCCCCAGCCTTGGCAAGCATCTTGCAATACTGTACTCTTGGGATCCTCCCAAGTGGAGCCTTCCCCTACAAAACACCAAACACCAACACCTGCCGACTTGGTTGATTTGGTGTTCCGTGTTCCCGGTCCTATCAGCCAAAGTGGAGAAAAGTGGAGAAAAAAGAGCTATCGACTCTCGACCTTCTGATAATCATTCTCCGCGCATCTATCTATTATCTTCATGGTCTTCCAAGATCCACAATTCCATGTTAATGTGTTATTGAATATCAACAATATCACTACCAATGCAGGGGGCTCAAATCCAAAAGAATGACCTCAACCCGTTCAAGTCCGCCTGATATCTGCCAGCTGCCGGCAGGTCAGATCTGCCTACATCGATCATCACCACCCCACTCGCCTGGTCCCAGTAGTGGCCCAGTTGGAGAAGCTCCAGCCAAGGGCCCAAGGATCGGAGGAGCTCCCAGCTCTCCTAGCTCGCGAACAGCGGTTTCAGCACCACAGCCCAGGTGGTTCACCTGGGAGAAGACCCCTTAGACTGGATGCACAACGGATGGTCGTTTTTTCCGACCAAACCATCCACTGGGTGTTTTGCCCGTGGCTAAACCATCACCATGGTGGATCATGGAGAACGAAAACAAATCCAGAATCCCCCACCAAAACAATGAACACCACCTCTCCCGCACCAAAAAAAATAAACATCCGTAAGCACGCCCCCAATCCCACCCATCACACCCCTCCACCAGTCTGGCTCCTCCGGCTCCTCGGCCATCTCCCATGTACCCTGCCGCGTGGAGACGCCACGGCTCTCGCTGACCTCGCTGCTGCCGCGGCTCTCGTTGCTGCCGGTGCTTTTGGCCTTCGGCAGCCTCGACGTTTGGGTGGGCGGTGGGAGGGCAAGCTTGAGGACAAGTTGAGGGCCTTTGAAAGGCACAACAGGCATTGGCATGTGTTTCTTACAAATCTCTGTTCCATAAATACAATGATAAAAATGCACATCCATGGGTACGTACATGATGCACACGTGTAGTATGGATGTTTGGTGGGGGAGAGTTAGGTGGAAATCACGTTGGATTCGTCGGACGGTCTTTATTTGGTAGCTCAAAGGCGCTTGACCCACACCCTCACAGCAGTTTTCTCTTTCGTGTGCATTTGTTTCTAGACCTGTGAACGGAGTCCCCTGGTGAATCTAGATCAGTCGTTGATGGTTGACATATCTAGATCAGTTTCTAGGATGCAGACTCATTCACTTTCTGAAGTGTTGCGGAGCAAATGGCCAGTCCAATAGAGCAGGATGGCCAGTCCCATATCGATGCGTTGCTCACACTCCGTGATGTTCTAAATGTTTTGCTTCGAAAATGGATGAACATGGTCTTCATGAATTGAGATGATAGAATAAAATATGAAGGAAGGCTCCACACTGTATCATCTCATCTGCACTGTTTCATTTTTGCCAAAACAGCTGTTATGGCTTCATGGCACCTGCCCGCGCTGAACACAGCACGACAATCCGAACGACGTTGGGCGCATGGGTTCCTCGAAGACACTCCAAGCTCCGTGGTTAAGACGACGTGTGGCAGTTGACGTGACGTGTGGATGTGGCAGTTTGCACACATCCCCTCACGACATGGCTGTTGATGAAGCCAAAGCTTGGCCACTCGGCGAAACATGGTTTTAACCACAAGTCTCTTGTTGAACCACTCCTGCACAGGTCAACGTCCAAATGCAGCAACCTTCCTGCAACGCATCAAACACTGTCAAAAACAGTGAGGTCCATCACATGCCCAGAACCATGTTGTTTCGTCCTTTCTGTACTTGGTAGCAAATCTAGGGAGTGACCATGTGCCTGAGACAGCTTTAGCTGCTTGCTATGCTTGCTTGCGTGTTTCCTTTTGCTTCCGATGTCCTTTTAAACCTTCAACGCTTTCAATGAAGTTTCACGGCGCCACTTCACCAGAAGTGAAGGAACACGCACTTCACCAACAGCAGGAACATACATACCCGGCCCCTGTTTGCCAGCGGTCAAAGTTCCCTGTGCAAAATAATTAAGAAAAATGATACGTAGAAAGTAGAAAGAGATGCCACTTCACCACCGGGAAGCTCCAGCAACGACTCCAAGAGGTGTTGGCACAGCCTTCACCGTGAGGTGTTGGCGGCGCTTCTATTTTTTCGGCGGCCAGGGCGGCGTAGGGCGTGGAAGTCTTGGAGGACGCTGTTCAGAAACTTTTAACAATATAAGTTCTACAATATGCTAAAGAATTTGTCGTACAAAGAAACATCATCTTGCGGATTCCACCGTTGCATTGCGACCAATGACGTGGTGCGCGCTGCACAACCCCATGATGCAATCCGCTTGGTGTACTCTCAAATGGTCAAATCATGTCAAATCCCCATCTGTCTGAACAGTTTGTCGGCCACAAACCCGCGCTTCTTTGAATGTCATTCACATTCAGAGCACTGGGTCACTGGGCAGAAAGAACAACAGGACCAACCAATTCTCAACCACTGAACGACCTGGACCTCCCCCTGAACCACCTGGTGTGACGAGTGCATGTCTTTCAAGGGAATGAATCCTGTTCACTACAGTATCTCTGGTGGGGGTGTGGTCAGCCACCCGAGAACGCTCGGAGAAGACACGTCTCCACTTTCCGCCGAAGACACGTCTCTTGAGACTCCTGCGGCGACCAACAGGAAGTGCTCGAGTCCTAGCGCTCAGACCGGGTCACCGACCAAGAGCAGCAATGGATGAAGTTCCTTCATTTGGACAGGCATGCGTCCACAAAACGGTCAAAGAACCTCTTTAGAGTCGAAAAGAAAGGAGCCAAGACAGTATGTCTTTGAGCCGCGTCAGTCGACGCCACTTTCAAACGAAAACACCGATGTGTGGGTCATGTGGATGGGGTCGACCGACCCATTGACCAGGTGCACGGCCGCCGGTCACGATGTAGAGTCGACGTCAAGGGGAGGGGTGAACCCGGATTGGGCCTCCATCTTCGGTCGAACCTCTCCTGGCCCGCCAGCTGGTAGCGGACTCCATCATGAATCTGCTTGTCACAGCAGAAGCACCGGAACGCTGCACCTGCAGCTGGAAACAGCCGTGTTTTGGAACAAAAATCCGGCGGACGGGCCGGACTCCCAGGCAGTTGCTCAGGGAGTCTCATACTCAACTAGTGTATATCTAAGGAATGCAAGATTTAAGAGCTTGGCTCTTCTCACAACTCATAAAGAAAGCGCCGTGGACATCTGCGAGTCCTTTTCCGCTTTATTGTCGCAGCACAATGCTCCAACGGTCGCCGAACTCGGTCGCCAACGGGCTTGTCAAAAGAGCCGTCCCTATGCTATGAAGAAATGTCTGCTGTGATGTGCACCCTTCCTCGGTCTGGCCCCGGGCAGGGAGAACGTCCCATGCCAGAGCTTCACACAGGAACCGCTCACCTTTTCGACCTGAGGAGAACCGAACTACAGTCAAAACGACCTGGAGTAATGATGATGTTCTATCACTTACGACCCCAACAAAGCATCCGACATGGCTTCTTTTTGTTGGGCAAAAGCTCGGGAAGCCTTCGAAAGGCTCGTCTCTTCAACCACCCAAGTTTTCTCGCTCGAAGTCGCTCCCTGAGCTCCGGGCAGGGAGCAAGTCCGGGAAAGTCCTCGCCTGGCGCTCCGGGCAGGGAGCAGGTCGTGCCTCTCTTCAGACCCTCAGACCCCTCGGACCACGAGCAGGTCGTGTCTGGACCCTCTGGGACCCGGGATGGGTCACCCCTGCGACTGCGAAGGGGTCCGACCCCTGCGAAGATGGGAGAGCAAACGGATTTTGAGGGGTGAAGCACAACTCATCACCTGTTCGGACAACGCTCTCCACAGATCAGGCTGGACTTTTCCCACAAGTCTTCCCCGGCCCTGGGTGGGTTCTCCACTGTCCATCATGGCTCAGAACCAACGAAATCGCGTGTGGAAGAACTCCCCCCCGGTTTCAGTCGGATCCGTACGGCCCATCTGGACGGGTCTGGTCGAAAGAGGTTGAATGTGCCAACTCATTGGGATTTATGGGGCATTCGTCCAGCTACCCTCCATTTTGATGTTGTTTCAGGTTGTTTTTTCCATGTCACATGAAACCCGCCTTCAAGAGGATATCCATCAAATGTTTTGGCACAGGAGTAGCACACGAACTCTTCCGGTCCGTTGAGTGCTGCAGGCAACTGCATGGGACTGGCACATGCCAGTGTCCGCCCGGCTGTCGTGGTTTCCCTCAGAAGAAAGGGGCTAGCTGGAAACCAGGATCACTATGTGGGAGCATATGGCATACCCGCAAGTTTCAGTAGGACCGGCTTCGCGGTGTGCGAATGAAAAATCCCCGTCTTTGGAGCTGGGTGTTGCATAGCTGCAAGACGTATCAGAGGGAAAGGATCAAATGCGGTGTATTTTGGTCGCTTCAACCGTGAGAGCTTGGAAGGGAAAACAAGCAGCACATCACCTTTGTGACTTTTGCTCGTTTCTTACCCTGTCGGCAGGTGGTGTCGGTGTAGTCATTTTGTGATGCCGGAGGCCGTTCCAGCCGGTGGTTCGAGCCACAGCTGCGCAAACACCTGTCGTTCGCTAAGGGCGCCTGTGCGGTCTCGAAAGGCGTCGGGGGCAAGTTGAAAGAAAGAAATACCATTAGGTCCTTGAAGCTCAAAGAAATGGATGCTCAGACACCAAACAGCCCTTGGTCCCCCAAAAGCGGATTTGAGACCCCAGCCCAGGTGCGATTCCTCCAGGATCTGCTAGCAAAGGGTGAAACCCGTTGGACATCCCTTCATCCAAACTACGGCTTCAATGAAGTACAGCTTTCGAAATGAAGCTGTTCTTTCCAACGATGTGAAAAAAAATAAACATGTCTTAAAGCGGGATTATCTTTCTAGTTGATGACCAATATTAGACTGGCAGGATTGGTAGTCAGCCTACTGGTGATCATTTGCAAAAGTTGCAGGGAAGAAATGAACTTGCCCTGCTCACCGATGCTTGTGACTTGTTGTTTCGGCCACAGATATTGTATAACCTGATGGGTTTTGTGGGAATTCTCCGTCTTAGCAGCCCTTCTTCACCATAGATAGAATCGCAACACGTCAAGGTGTCAAAGCAAGACATTGTCACCTATATATATATATTATATATATTCTTCCAAACACATTTAGTCCCCCTAAGTCTACCAACTTCATCGCATCGAAGACACTCCCTCTCCCCCCCGCCCCGGCCCTGCTCACACCTCCGCTGCTCCCGGACGAAGACGCTTCGGACGTCCCTCCCTGAGATCCCACGCCATGGGCCCGGGAAGGTCCAGTCGACCGAATCGGGGTCTCTCGACCTCATCGACGGAAAACGGAGACGGAGACGAGAGGTGAACGAAGAAAAGAGATCCTCAATGGACGACGTGGTTTCCGCGGGCAGCCACTACCGTAGGTCCTGTATGGTCTTGTAGCTTGAGCTACTCTTTTTCAAGCGGAGGTGAAGGAGGAAGTCTACAGTTTGATCTTCCGAAGTTGCCAGGGTGGTGCCGTCCTGATTCTATTTTGCAAAACCCTTTCAGGTGATTTGGGCAAAAAAATCGACCAAAAAACATCTCACCTGAAATTTTGCCGGCTTCTTCTGGAAGCCCGAACGGAAGGGGGGCCATCCGTGAGGACGGAAGGGGTGAGTCCGCTCGGCACCTGGAGGAACTCGTCACCGGCGCCTCCTCACCAGCGAAAGGGAAGAGATCCTGGGCGAAAGTGAAGAGATCACCGAGGATCACCGAGCCCAAAGAACTTTCGGGTTGGACCCACCTGGCCTCGTGGGGAAATATGAGAGGAATGAAGGAAGCCAGTTTAAATGTTATACTAACTCATCGATTTATCTACCCTCAAGAAAACGATTTCTCCAATTAAGGGGAGTTGGCCTCAAAAAGCCATGGGCCGATTCGTAGCAAACCCGGCAGCACTGTTGACATGAACACAATGAACGAGAGAGATAAACACCAGGCTTTTGTTCCTGTTCCAGAATCCTTTGATCCACTTAGGTCTAGCTAGCTATCAAATCGTTGGAACTACCTCCCTAAGGGCCCTAAGGGTGCCAGGCTGACTCCGAACGGCCGGCGTCCGCTCGGTGATCCGAAAAAAAAAAAAAAAAAACAGCGACCCGTTCATCCGAGCATCGCCTCTGCCCCATTGGCCGAATTCCATGGACGTGTCGGTGCGGTCGAAAAGGTGAGTAAATTGAGCCTTCTGAAGCTCAGACGGCTCCGATACTTGTGGGCACGATCGAATCAATACTTGTCGATGATCCCGCGATAGTGCCGTTGCGAAGTCGGTCAGCGAATGGTGCTTTGGGGTTTTGGGCAACGGGTAGATCTCTTGGAATTTGGAATCGTCTCAGATACCAAACGTAGATCCCCAAATTCCAAATAGTTCGCAATCGTTCCAAAGACGATAAAGTAGACATAGAAATCCTGCTTCTCCAAGACTGGCAACTGGTAATTGGGATCCACTAAAGCAAGCTCTTGAACTTTATGTGATCTACTAGGCACAGCCATTACTTCAACTTGTCATTCCACACACTTTGCGAAAGGTGAGCTGCATGCCTGGACTCTCAGTGCAGTGCAGGCATGAAAATGACATGTCTTTCATTTGCTTTCACGTCTTGTGTGAAGGATAGTCATGTCTTGTGTGAAGCTCTGTGATGGTTAGAAAATGAATTTGAGGCTAAGACTTGAGCCTGCGCAAAAAGCAAACGTTTCATAATCCCTGTATGTAACCAAAAAAAGAACGTCATAACACGAAATATCACAAAATAAACACACATATCACATATATTGGAACTCCACCAGTGGTTGGCATAGCATAGCAACACACCACGTTTTCTGCGGCAAACCATTCCAGGAATGTTGTACAGTGGTTTCAGAGTAGATCGCACAATCCTCAAGTTCACTGGTTTATAATGGGCCCTATTTATATATATATAAGACATTTTGAGGTGCCAGTGCCATCGAACCTCTGAAACCACTGCATCTCTACTTGGCAGGCAACGGCTTCCGCTGCGTTTATGACGATCTAGCGAATCGAAACTCGTTGTGTGAATCGAAACTCCTGGAACCACAACACGAACGACTGGCAGGTCCATTCATCCAAACGAGTGACAGTCCAAGGTCAGATTTCCAATGGTCAGATTTCCAATGACGAAATCAGTTGCAATGGTCAGATTTCTAAGCGAGACATGACAGGAATCACACTATGATATATAGATACTTTTCCTTGTTTGATGCTTCAGTGAGGAGACCCCAAGCTACTCAGTGCAGGCGACCAAAAACGAACGAACCACCGCACCGGAAGATCAAACGCTCGAAGCCACCGGGAAACGCTCCACCGCATCGTGAGACCTGTCTCGACCCGATGATTGGACCTACTCCCCTCAACTGACCAGTGGTAAGTCCCAAATGACAAACGTCCTGCATCCCGTTGCTTCGATCTAAAAAAACACCGGTGCTTGGCTTCGAGTTCAGCTTTGGGGCCCTTTTTCAAGCTCGGAAATGCTCGGATTCTCGGCCCAGTTCGTCACACGGATCGCTTCCAACAGGAAGTCGGGGAGGAGTTGGACGGACTTCATGGGAAGTCGAAGCTTCCAACAGGAAAAGGACCCTGGGCCGACCTCCAACCTAATAGCGATGGCTTCCAAGTCCGGTGGTTTTGGAACCCTAACAGGTGGTTTCTGGGCACCTGTTGCCAGGAAACAAACACCTGTTGGAGGGTCCAGGTATAGACATATA